AATACTGTACTCACACCTACTCGACCGGCTTGCTGTCCTCGACGACGTCGTCGACATCATCTCTGGACAGCGAACAAGTGAACTGAGCTAAGAAGCCACTGAAAGCTTTTTTTTCGAACGAAGTTGCCGTCCTTAAAAGCCCTGATCTGAACGTAGCTCGCTTCGCTCAGTGCGAGAAAGCGAGCGCACACATGGAACTAGCAAAGAGCGTTTTCTTTTTTCTGATTCTTTCTCTTAGCGAGCTCAGTCAGTCAGGCAGGCCGCCGTCTAAATTTGGTTTTGAGTTTGAAGACGAACAATGACGACGACGTCGATGAACAGAAAGACCCCGAGCGAAAGAAACTGCGCGTCTACACTCGCAAGCTCGCCAGCTTGCCCAGTAGCTCATACCCCCTCGGCACGGGTACGGCTCATAGCGAGCCTGAGCTCCTGCGTATAAATTCGCGTTCTCTGCTAATCCACGGTGGAGCAATAGTAGGAAACGAGAAAGACCCGACGCATTCGCTAGATCCGCGAGTATCGGCATCGGGTCTCTTCCCCGGAGGTTCGCCGACGCTCCAGGATCTCTGACCTTCGGAGCAACTCGGCGGAACCTTATGTGTGATTGGTGATCTGTGATTCCAAATACCTACTCATTCGAACTGTGGATCTGATGTCAGTGATTTTGTCATCCCGCTCCGGAACCATGGCTCGCAGTTCGCGTGAGAGTAGCGTCAAAAACAATGAGGACGCTGGGTCACCCACCGCGGATGTTCGCAGATGGAGAAGGTTATTCAATACGCTTGGTGCCATATCAAGATGGCGCATTCGTACGGGTGGAGGAGCATGAGGACCGATGGCCCCCCTCTCACGTCGGGCTACTCTGACGAACTTATCTTTGGCAACAGAAATATCGCCTTTTGAGGTCTTCCGGACTACCGATTTTTGAGGAGCTCACTCATGTTGAGGTCGATACGCGACCCGTGATCGGTATCGATGGCGATGTCGGAATGACACCAAGATAGCATAAACTCTATCGCCCGTACAGACTCATCAGCCGAAAAGTTTGCTGAGCAGCCCACACGAACATCGTCTCATCCGAGTTTATCGACCATCGAGCGTCAACGTCGGAAGCCCATACGTAAACAAAATTTGCTCTTCACTATCAACAGCCTTGATCCGTGGTGGGCGCTCCGTATACCTATGACCTAATTCCGTCATTACCAAGCTCGAGCGAATGTACAATAGTCGAGTTCCAGAATCTTCCCAGGAGCTCCTCGATCTTATAGCACATAGCACAAGGAAGACTCAATTTTTTTCGCTTTGGAAATCGCTAATCGCGAATCAGTTTCGGCGCTCCTGCAGTGTCTGAAACAGAAGCTGATAGAGAACACCGAAGAGAGCGAGTGAAGAGGTCGTCGCCCAAGAGAGTATCTCGCCTATCAACAAATTTATCTGACAGCGTGCCTCATCGAGGGAAAGTTGGCGCGGAATTGCTCAAGCTATCTTCATATTCGAGAGTACTCCCAGGATGTCTCCTCGATGAGTATGCAGCAAGATACGGCCCGAAAAGCGTACAAGTGAGGGTGAGCCTTCCTGCAATCCGCCTTGTATGATATCTTCTCGAACGAAACATGAATTTGGCGAATCGAAAATTCTGATCTGATGGCGATTGCGTAGCTGCTCGGGAAAGGTCCCTCTTTAGAAGATGGAGGGCATTCTCTGTTAAAGGGTAATATTTAAACAACCCTTTCAGATCATTTCGAAAGAGCTGCGATCGATGTTGCTCTGAATAGAGCAGCTGACCACTCATTTGAAACACTTCGCTGGTGCACCGCCTACAGACAGGATGGAAGTCGCTCGAAGGAATTCCAATCAGATCTTCAGCTCAGATCAGCACGGCTCCTAGCTCGCATCTTGCTCCAAGTCAGGGACTGGGATCAACTAGAACTCTTTCGTCCATGAATTTTTGGTAGTTCTCGTTCAGAGCACGTGCGCATCTCATTGCATCGCGAACTGCATTCGAGCTCGCTCATGGCATGTCATATGCTTCACATTCATCCGAGTTCATTCACTCGACATCGAGGCGAGCGAGTCTACTTTGAAGAACTTTTCAATTTAGAGATTGTTCATTGTTTTCAAACAGCTGCTGGAAGCTTCGGCTCCCTCTACCTCGCCACGTTGGGCCCGCCGGAAGCCGGCCCCGTTCTGGGATCGAAACTTGTCAATATGATCAGCGTCCACGACTCAGCCTTGCTCAGAGACAGTCGGGTGCGTAAGCGGGTGGTCTCTTTGATGGAAACTCCCAAGAATATTCAGCATCCGACGAGACGGGTTCCGACAGGCGTTCTCGCTGACCCCGAGCTCGATTCCGAGGTTTTCGCAGCGATTATGGAGTCTCCGCTGATACATCGACAAGACTGCCCGTTTGCTACTCTTGAAGCCTACGTCCCGAAAACTAAACCACTCTACGGAGTGTCGCTGTATCGTGTAATCAGAGCGTTAACCCGACTGACGGATCATGAGATGAAGGGAGTCATTCCAGCTCAGCTGCCTCTTCCGTTGCGATACGCCCATGTGCAAAATGCTTTGAACCCTAGCGAAGAGGTAGATTCGATCTTTCATTTCCACTCCTTGTTCCTGGCATTGAGTTTGAAGAATCCAAGCTAGGATTCAGGAGATTTCTGTCTGCAGCCGTCGAGCGTAAGCGTCAACGCCAAGAGTCAAGTCAAGCCGACCGAGGTCGAAAAGTGCGAAATATGTCCTGGGAGGTTCACGGCGTATAAACTGAGAATATTCGATCGCGGAGCCATTGGCCTATCGGTCGCGAGTCGGTAGCGTCAGGAGTATATGGCTCCAGAAATTCTGATGTGCAAGCCCTACGGGAGAGCGGCGGACTGGGGATCAGGCTCTTCTAGAGCAGTGGTTCCCAACCTTTTTCTTAGGGGTTCCGCAGGTAGACTTTGGGGTTCCGTGGAACCCCGTTTGGGAACCTCTGTTCTAGAGAACCTTTAAGACTCCTGGCTCAACCTGGATTCGAAAATCCCTCCGCTCCATCCAAAGGCGCATCAACCCGACGATTCCCCTTCGGATGTGACTTCATTACATCTGGATCTGTTCTCAGTTGGTCCTTCGAGGTCGCCGCCTCCGCCCTATGCACGGACCGGATGCCGTTCTCTGGCACAAAGTGTGCCCACCAGAAACAAGCTATCATGAACGGGCGTTACGAGCTGACGAAGGAGGCGCATTGAGTTTCGATGGTTCCGGGTGAGACCTCAATAGATCATTGTCCCGCCATTTCCCGGAGTGATCGTACAGTATCCGATTTATGTTCACCGAGGCCTACTCATTTGATGAGACTCTGGTCAGAAAACATCCGTCACAGTCGACAAACAATACCAGGACAAGCTCCGTTTCTCCTGGTTTACTCGTCGGCAGCCCACCGAAGAGTCAGAAAATTACCGAAGCAGCTGACAAGTCGCCCTCTTCGACGACTTTCATGGATCCCGACAAGAGATGGGAACTTGAAGGAGACCCAACATCTGAGGACGAAGAACGCAAGAAACGCAGCTCAGAAAAGTTGCGAAAGTCATCTATGCGGCACCCAGGCAGTTCTCGGATTTTCGACAAACGAAGCAGATTGCATCGACAGGACGGAATAAAGCTACCTCCGAATCGCCGTTTGGGAGTGCCAAAGCATCAAGCAAGGTCAGAGCTGAGCTGCGGAGACGGATCAGACGCTTTTTCTTTGGAGTTCGGTTACTCCTTGTTAGATACTGCGAGAGGGGGATGGTACAAGAAGATATTCTGCGGTTCGCATCGATGCGACGTTGCAGCCTCCGAATCCCGCCGTCGATTGCGATCGGCGATAGAGTGAAACACAGAGGAAAGAAAGGGAGCTCCGACGTTCGTCGATAGCCGAATGTTTTCCCCTCTTCTGACTATCGCTGCTGCCGAGAAACCCCGTGGGGATGGGACAAGGCTTCTCAGAGCCGTGCTTCAGCTTGCAATTTACTCCGATCATGGAGCGATTGTTCGTCGATGGAATGGGAAAAGATATATTGAGGGAGCAAGGGACGCTCTGCGACTATTTCCAAAAGATCAATCCAAGTCTGGGATGTGGAGCGAAACATGTTCATACGTTCCCAATAATTCAGCCGAACTAAACGTGCAACTGATTCGACCATCTGTCAGACAGACGGCTCGAAGTGGTGAGCGAATAAGCCCCGCGAACCGACCTGAGAAAAATAATTCTCATCATGAAAATCCTATTTTTGTGTTCAGTGATTTTGCTCTGGGTAGCTCCAGTGCAAACCGTGGATATCGTTCGTGAGGTTGACACTGGCATCAACAGATTAGCGGCGAGTTTATTCGGTAATTAGTGGAGTCGATCTTATGCGCTATCAATGATCAGCCATCCCATGGATTTCCGCTGCTGCTGCTGCTGTTGTATTCCATGAACTCGAGATTCCGCGGATTTCAGGAACTCGCCCGCACGGCGTCTATGGGTCTCCAGAGCTCGTCAGGTTGCCAACGGCTCCGTATTTCCCGGTACCGTTCCAATTTTTTTCTCGTCGGTCACAAACCAATCCCAGGATCCTTTTGAGACAGGAGAGCGCCTCCGATCAGAGCTCGCAGGAATCCTTGACGGTCATCAATATTGCGCGAGGGTTCGCCGACAGACCGCCATTTTAATCTCTCCACTCATCACCGGGTGAAACCCCTACCTTTCTTAAGTGAATTGCTGATAATCTAATAATCTTGCGTAAAATATCAGAGGCCGCATCGTAAGTGTAGAATTATAGCATGCTGCGAAGGTGCGAATAAATGACTCTGGAATTGTGCATGAGCTTTCTCCTTCATTGGTAGTGATCACCCTAGAAGAGTCTCGACAGCTCGTGGATGTCAGTAACAACGCCTCCATCAGGAATTTATTTCTATATAAACATGCAGATGTACAGGTCGGATAATTGTGCTGACTTCCTTGAGCTCTGATGAATTTTTCCCAGACATTCTCTCGCAACATCTCTCTGTATAACAATTGCAACGGATAAATTAAATCATCGAGGAATATGTCAACCCTTCGAGGTGGGGTGGAGCACCATACGCGTCCATATATTCAAAGTCAGAACGATATCAAAATCGGAAGGCTCCCGCGAAAACAAGGGATCATGAGTTGCTTGTGTATGTTGGTCGGTCGTCGGATCTTGAGACGGTGGACTACCCCGTCTCCGATCCATCGCGAGTTTATGATAAGTACATATAATATCAAATCTATGCTAGATTGGCGTCTTTCGCCATCGAATAGAATATACTATTCTTATTTTTGAGGAGCTCCGACGGAGAGTCGAATTCTTTGATGTATCCATTGTCGAGCACCATGATTCTGGAAATGAGAAAAATAATTTTTGATGGTGTCGTCAATCGGAGCAGGAAGTCGAGAGGCAGCTCGCGATTATCCCCGGCATCAGCAGCGATCGAAAGCCACCGAAGATCCGATCGTCCCGACGCGGTTTCCCGTAGATGGAATTCGGAGGGGCTCACCTGTCGTAATCCATGATAGTGTTCAATCTGTGCGCGATTGTCATGATCGTGCAGTCTTTGAACTCGGTTCTGATTGTTTTCTGGATCAGCTCATCCGTTTCCAAGTCCACAGCGGCCGTCGCTTCGTCCAATACGAGAACGCGAGTTTTACGTAGGAGAGATCTCGCTAAGCAAATCAATTGCCTTTGACCCACGCTGAGATTTTCCCCGCCTTCGCTGACTTCGTGATCGAGCCCTTTCTCCACGGATTTCACGAATGTCTTCAGATGAGAGTGTTCCAGAGCTCTCCAAATATCTTCGTCCGAGCTCTGCTCAAAGGAGTTAATAATTATTATAGGGAGGATTGAAGGAGGTTCCCAATGGTGGCCGCGTTTTCGTTTCTTCCCCCCCTTCCCCCCTCCTCCCCTGAGGGAGAACAATACGCACCTTTCCGAAGGGATCCAAGTTCAAACGCAACGTGCCAGAGAAGAGCACCGGATCTTGTGGGATGATCGTTAGCTTCTCGCGCAGGTCGTGTAGACCCATGTCGGCTATGTCGAGACCGTCGATGAATATTTTTCCTTTTGCCGGCTCGATGAGTCTGAACAGAGCCAAAGTTAAGGTAGATTTTCCAGCTCCCGTTCGTCCGACGATTCCCACTTTTTCTCCCGGCTTCACGTGAGCGGTGATGTCCTTGATCACCAGGTCCAAACCTTCGCGATACCGGGTGGCGTAGTGGTCGAAGATGATTTCACCGCGCGGAGGCCAATCCTTGGGTGGCTTCTTGCCCTCGATGCGCCACTCAGCCTGAGGGATATGGGAGTAGCTCGCTGATAATCACAATCGTTCAAGGTCTCATTTAGAAATCTATTGGGAACTTGACCTCCATCCGCCCAGAATTCTTCTGAACATACCTTCCTGTGCTATTTCCGAAAAATGGGTTCAAAGATTATCGCTGGCTTGAGAACGCAACCTCGAAGAATTCTCCAATGCTGAATTCACAACTCACCTCATTAGCGCTCCGTGTGTACTCGTCGATTCGTTCCACGGAGACGATGTTTGTCTCCAGATCGGAACTCATTCTAACAAGCCAGTTGAGAACCGCCGTCACCGAAAGAGCGTAGGACAGCATGAGTCCCACTTTCCCACCGTCCATATCATTTCTGTAGTAGACAGCGAACAGAGCGGACGCCAGAACGATCAAGTTGCCACAGAATTCGAGTCTGATCGCGAGCCATCTGAATGGGATTTGGAAATCAGACCGAGATCGAGCCTGATCGAATGAATGAAATCGACGCAATCCCAAAATATTGACTGTATGACGTTGATTGTCCATTGCGCCCCTGTGATATTCTTCTCGCACCTACGCCTGCGCAGGTCGAGACCATTCATTCACCTGTTCGATATGGTTGAAGGATAATAACACTGCTGATTGACGTCGACCCTCTTATTGGACTCTTCGACGAAGAGGTCTTCAACTTGGTACGCCCTGATCGTGGTGACACCAGCAAGCGTTTCAGAGAAGTGAGAATAGATTGGAGATCTGGTCACGGACTCCAGTCTCTTGAGTTGACGGGAACTCTTTATGTAGAACACTTGGATAGCGTAGTACAAGATCCCGATGGGGACAATCACGACCAAAAAATCGGAGCGTTCAGGGTGATGATGAAGAGGGTGACCAGGACTTGGAGGAAGCACATTATCCACGAACGAATCGTTTGAGGAATCGTCAGATCAACGGTGTCGATATCTTTCGAGAACCGGTTCACTATGCGACCAAGCGGTGTGGTATCGAAAAAGCTCATGGGACTGCGCAAAACGTTGTAGAGTAGGTTCGCGTGGAGAGTTCTCGCTCCACGTATTGATCCGAGGGCGAGTGCGAGGGACGCGAAGAGAATCGTGATTCCCTGGCTCAGGCCCAGAGCCCCGTAAACCTGGAGGCGCATGTTCCTCTGACCAATGTCCTGGGACCCATCTGTCGAATATCAGCAGAAGCAAATCAGACCCTCTATCCCACATACCGCTCCTCGGGGATCCAGCATACGCGTACAACTGTATGGAGCGATGACTGAGAAGGGTACGGGAGCTCCAGAAGACAAGAATTCGAATAGTGCGACCAATCACCTTCGAGGGGCTTGTCATTCGCCCAACTTGCCAGCCACACGTTGGCGAGGAGCGAGAAGACGTTGGAGGCGAGATTGAACAATGCAACGGCCACCACAGGGATCCATCCCATTGCTGAGAAATACGTCAAATAGACGCTCCATCGAACTTTACCAGTTTCCGCCATCTCGGCCTGAATAAGCTTCCTTTTCTGGGCCGTCTGGAATGAACAGGGTTTCATCTAAGGAGTCGGTGACAAGTCGCTTGCCTCATCCCTCGTTCTAAATAGATTCAGTCTTTCGTGTTGAATTTTAGGGACACTCACACCAGGGACCTCTTCCGAGCCTCGCGGTCTTTGTGAGACAGAGACACTGCGGGATCTTCCGGCTGAATCAGACATGGAGGATGTCCGCGAATACCGCCTAGAAACCGACCTAATGTAGGCAACTTTGTCGGGACTATCCTGAACGTCGGGTGGAGGAGAGCCTTCGACCTGTTTCACTATTTCTTCCATCATTTGGACCTGCGAACGAGGGTGATTGAGAAAAGATTAATGGATTGCTTGAGACCGATCTCGTTCCAAATTATTATCATTCCTCGTCGACAAGCTCACCTTCAACTCATCGATTTCTTCGCCCTCCGTCTCCTCTTGGATGAACTGCATCAGAACGTCAGCGAAAGCTCCTTTCTTAGCGAGGAGCTCGTGATATGTGCCCTGCTCGCGAATCTCGCCGTCATCGACAACAATGATCTGGTCGACGTGTGGTAGGAACGAAATTCCATGCGTGACCAGGATTCGCGTTTTCTTGTTGAGGATGCCTTGGTTGCCGATGACTTTCTCGAATATATGTTTCCCGACATGCGAGTCGACGGCGCTCAGCGGATCATCGAGCAAGAAGACGTCTGCATTCGAATAGCAAGCTCGGGCAATCGATATCCGCTGCTTTTGACCACCCGAAAGATTGATACCCTTCTCGCCGATCTCTGTTTGGTCTCCATCCGGCAAAATATCGAGGTCGGATTTTAGCGCGCAGGCTTCGATGATTGCTTCGTACTTCTGAGCATCGAGCGCCTCGTTGAAGAGGATATTATCTTTCAGCGTCGCATTCTGGATCCATGTCTGTTGTGCCACATATGCGACTTTTCCTGGAACGGTATCACCGACGCTTAAGATGACTGTCCAGGCAAAGTTCCTCGCGAGGTAGAGACGGTGAGAAATCAAGCTGATGGTGGAAACTCTTACCGTTCAGTTCAACATCTCCCCCGATTTTCTCCATATAGCCGAGTAGGGCACTCAGCAGTGAGCTCTTCCCGGAGCCCACCGTGCCGACGATAGCGATCAGCTTCCCACGCTGAACCTCAAGGTTGATATCCTTCAGGGTTGGTTGTTCTCTTTCGGCTTTGCTCCACGCGAAGGTTCCCCTCTCTATGGAAACAGCTGTAGGACTATGCGCAGAGTCCGATCGACGCACATAATGATCCAATTCATCAGAACTGAGGAATTTATTCATTCGCTTGACGCTTACTGCGGCTTGGACCATGAGCGAGATCAACATCGGGAGGATACCTCGAGGAGAGAAGAGGTCGTTACTCGAACGAAGGGGAATGGTGCCACTCCCAAACGCGATGGGAAGTCACATATGCGAAGATAGAACTCACTCATGGGGAATCGAAGTATATGGAAAAGTGTCAAGGAAACGAAAGCTTTTTTCGGATCGAGAACATTTGCATCATCTATGAGCACGTAGGTGAGGAACGAGACCAAGGATACGAGGAAGGGAGCGCAGGTCCACAAGAAACTGATCCCTGCGTTCATGTACGCCATCTCCTTCAGTTTTGAGATTTCTTTCGAGCGGATGGTGTTGATCAAGTCTTGGAAACTCAATTCCCACGCGTACAGCTTGAGCACCTTCATCCCGCTCAGGATTTCATTCATCGAACGAATACGATCGTCTTTGGATTTCATCTGATCGGTCTGAGGATCGAATAAGGGTCGTGAGCACACATTCTCGCGATTTCTTCGACGAGAAGTTCGGAAATCCTTATTTTCGCTTGATTTTTCCATAAACGAGAGTCTCGGATCGAATAATAATTCATCTCGGCCGGAGGCAGCCGTCTAGCTGAGGACTTCACCTGGAGTTTCTTCTGTAGATTGGCGAGGACCGCGTTGAGAGGGATCATGAGAATCATCACAGCGAGTCCTGACAGCACAGCTGCCCCCAGAATCTGCCACAGGAAGTAGATGGAGAGGGCGATTTGGAGAGGAGCTGACCAGATCATATTCACGAATGTCATTAACTCGAGAAACTTTTGAGCGTCATTCGACATCAGGTTCACGATCTCCCCCGTAGTTGTCGTTTTCTTGGTTGAATTCGACAAGACTAGCGATTTCCTACAACGGAACAAAATGGAAGAGCTCAGTCCCAGTGGAAGAGATGTCGATCTACAGGCGCGTGGGGAGGTAGATTCCGCATGAGAACGAGGAGCGCGATCCCCGGGCAAGACGTTTCACCTATAAACAGCGGAGATGAGCGCAGTTCTCATGCGCATTCCAACGATGCACATCCTGTGGAAGTAAACCGACAAGACGATGCTTTGCAGGGAGGCTCCTATGAACATGAGAGCCGCGTATAGCATTCCTTTCCAGAGTTCCTCTTCGGGGTTTTGAATGAAACCGATCATGAGCTCCAGAAGCTTCGGCTGAACGAACTGGAGCACATCGTAGAATAACTTCATGCTCGCTCCCAGTACGAACATTGGCCAGTATGTTCTCGCAAGCGCATTGACGATATTTGGCAATTCGGGATCCCCGGAAACTTTGGCGCTCGCAGACTTCGCCGTAGCGAGCTCGGGAGATGACGGACCTGCGTGAGACGAGCCGTTGGGAACGATGTTGATCGATCCCGTAGAAGACGAATAAACAGCGTTGAAGTCTCCATCGCTGAAATGTGGATTGTGATGCTCAGTCAAGCTTCATGCCGTCACCACGGGTCAGAGGCGCGAAAACCTCCTTTCGTAATGCATGACTACAGGATTCCTCATCATTTTGGACCCCTGGCCCCCCGAAAACCCAGTCTGGCCCTCCGAATAAAATTCTGCAAACGCAACTGCCACGGGTAAATTCAGCGTGAAGTATACTATTCCGAGCGCGTCGCAATCATTGTCCACAGGAATAAGACCACAGCTGCTGGTCAACTCACGTCTCGATGCCTTTGCTCCGAATTTCTTTCACCCAGTTCTTATCGAATTCGCGCGCTATATTGACCGATCGATCTTGGTGATTCAAAACCCACAGGTGGGACATCTCCAGTGGCTTCTTGGCGCCCTTCACAGCAAGCTCCGTGAACCAAGAGAACAGCATCCTAGAGGGGAAAGACGCTGCTTTCTCCGGACATTCTCTCTGGAAATCGGACAAAAGTAATAAATATCTATCTCGAAGGGTGCTGACGGGTCAAGTTTTATGCTCGGTTTGTTCTTACTCACGGAAAGCTGGAAGCGATCGTGATAACGTTTCAATTATTTTCGACCTCGCGATCCGGCGACTCTAAATGCTTAATGAGATACGTTTGTTCATCGAAAGGCTCACCTCGTCTTTCGGGATGGCTTTTCTCTTGTAAACGGGAGCGGCATCTGAGAAACCGTTGAGTATCACGTTGATCGTCACCAAGGGATAATAGATCATGTAACAAGAAAATATGACATTCGGCAGTTGGTTCTCTGCCAGAAACACCGGTCCATCCTGAAATTCGGAGCAATTGAGGATTCGCCTCTATGGGGAAGTTCAGAATGTACCCGGATAGATAATGGAACCCTACACCGAGCCTTCGCTCACTCTTTCGGTCATTGTAACGAATCACTTACAAATATCTGAAACTGCGGTAAGCATAGAGACGATGAGAAGAAAAGAATGCGAGCTAAATGGCATTCCTATTGTGACTCATGCGAACGCTGCTACTTACGCTGAACTCATAGCCGGAGAAGTTTCTCAGCAGAAGAGATCTATAAGTGATCAAGCCGCAAAGGAACGCAAGGAACCAGAAGATGAAGATTATGCCGGAGCTCTGGAAGCCTTTCCGCTTCTCAGCCAAAGTGAATATCAAGGCCAGAAACTGCAAGGAATCGATATGAATCATTTCATAACGCTCCGGAGATCGATTAAGGAGCACTCTCGACGCAGAGGTCTCGACGGTGAGCAAGTCTCCCCTTCCTGAACAAGGAGATTCGAATCGTGGAAAATGGCGTGCTCGGTCATTTTTCCTCTTACCACGGATGCGGTCTTGATGAATGGTGTGTAGAAATATACACTTGGTAAAACATCGTTGTATTTTAGTCCTTGTACTCCAGCAAATATAAATTCAATCAGGCACACGAGGAGGCAGAGACTGGTTGTGACCTTGAAAGGAAGGAGCGTATTATGGAAGCGGTGAGCGTTCACGGCATCTCGAACGGAGTGTTTCGTTCACGCGGGGTTTCGTTCCCGAATCCATCGGAACATATCCTGCATCAAGTTTCCGGGGAGCCGGTTTTCGCTCTTGTAAGTCATGGCACATTGACATGCCTGTTTATCGAATTTATTTCATTTGCGATCGGAACCAGCGACGGCATTTTACTGCATAATGTCGACTGTCTCTTGAGTGTCAAAGATGACTCTCATGATTCGAGAGATTTTCTTGCACTATCGTCCGCGTCGGAACAGGCGTCGCGTCGCTCTGGGTGATTTTTCGACCGTGACGCCTAGATAAGCCCGTGCGCTCATATCCCGGGATGTCCACATTAAAACCTTGAAGGGACGCTGCTCAGCTTTGCATCTCGCGATCATGGCCCCAGGGGATCTTTGCACGATCGGGATGATGATCTGAGAATCCAGACAACTGCCCGACGAGGAAACCTCTACACCTAAACAGCTATCATGCATTCTGGGAAGGACAGCCTCTCCAAAATCATCATTGAGCCCTGACCTCCCGAACCGTACTCACGACTTTGGTGATGTTCAGCCATGTCCATGGGGTATAGCTGCGGTGCGAGTTGATGAGATAATAGGTTTCCAGGGGCGACACGAGCCAGAGGAATATGCATGGAATCCAAACCAGCACCGTGCTTTGGAAACACACTGTCAGGTCTGGAGCTGCATCTTTCGTATGCCATGTGAGATTCGAGTCCTTGAATGAAATTTAAGGGGGCTATCAAGTCGCAGCCGAAACATTGATGAATAATGGAATATCGGGACATGGCTCCTGGAACGCCGCGGCATGATATTTATGGATATTCGATACATTGAAATCGGTGGTTCCGAGAACGCGGTCGGGAACGAACTCGATCAATATCGAGCGGAACTGGAGATGATAACGACACTCGATCTATCGTCATCATTGCCCTGATCCTTCCTCGGACGGCTGGGTTGACAAGAGTTGGGAAATGACTCTGCGGAACGTTCTTTCCGAGGATTGACATATAAGCCGCTCAATGCTTACCCAGAACTTCGAGCCGCAAAACTCATCCATCCCGCCTATGTCCGGTGTGTTGCTAGCAGCGCATCAGCTCACTGGAAGCAAAAAAAACAATGAACATATCGAAAACGAGTTGTCGAAGAGACTCGCTCATGACCTTAGATCCGACGAGAGATTTTCAGCAGTATCCCAGCTGTCGAGAGGAGGGCAAGGAGCGTGTATCATTGTGAGATGTTCGTCACTTTTTTCCCAGTTTCTCAGGAGGTGGACCGAACATTCGTCGCAGAAGGATCAGAATCAAAACCAGTGATTCGCCCGGACACTCAAGGTCTCTTCTCTGCGAAATCACCAGAAGAGCTCCCTGCAGCTGAGTCGTCAGCAGATCATCGAGCCGGAAGAGCGGACTCGCACGAGTTCATCATCGCTCGATCGGTCGGAACCATGCGGTTTCAAGGCCTCCATGGAATGTCCCTCAGACATGCTGAATGATGAGGATCGAGAGCACGGGAGAGAAGCGGGGGAATGGGAGGGGCTCCCGGAGAGAGCTTCCTGTGCTTCCCCCGGAAGCTCTCACCACATTACGTTCACGATGGGGATTCGTGCTGCCACAGTACCGAGCCAGATCTTTACTGCCGGCTTTAAAAGAACTGTCGCGCCATCGCACGGAAACCGTCCACGGAAATATCGTAGAGAAAACGGGAGCAGCACTCACATGGACGTTGAAGCTCGCGCACGGAGCCGCTACAGCTTTGACAAAATGTCAGAAGGGAATCCATCGCGGTAGCGGGCATCGTTCCTTAGCAGCCGATGTTAGCCTTATTCACACCAGTACATTCGGAGCATAGAGTAGACTTTCTCTAGGTTCGAACTCGATAGCGGAACAGTTGAATCACACGCGCAGCTACCGAAACTTGACCTTGATTCCCCAGAGCGCTACTGGGCTCAGCTTTCGAGAACTCGGAACAGTGGTCTTTGATGCTTCGTAGGCGCAACTGATTGATCAAATCCAAGTCACAATATCGCCGACGGGTCACATTGACAATATGGTCGATACCACGAGCACGAGGGACCGTGTGAGCTGTCAGATATCGCAAGCTCCTGGAATATCGCCTGTGTCGCGCGAGAGCTCCCGGCGCGGACTCTCCAGGCGCAGACAATCGACCCATCGGAATTCAACGAGCGTCGGACGAACGAGGAGGGCAAGAACTTAATTCTTCAGTTCACCCTCGAGTGAATCCACGAAGATCTGCCGGTCGATAGGGTCGCGCGGTATATTTGCATAGCCGGCGTTTGTTTCCGCTCGGCGGACGGTGATTATCCGAAGTCCACCAACCTGTTTGCAAAGCTGCCGTTGATCGGGGAATTCGTGACTCACGAAGAGTTCCGGATTCGACGACGTATTTCCGCGACAGTTCCTCGTCGACTCTCTCGAGTGGAACCTTCGTGCTGCGGCGGCTGCTGCTTTCGTTGTTCGCTCACTCTCTCCACTTACTGTTCTCCCACAAAGTGGGCCGTGAAGACTTGTTTACAAACACGGGCTCTTCTCGTCTGCCGAGGTACGGCTCCGAAGCTCGTGGTGGCGCGAAGTCCCACGCAGATGTTACTCCTTTCTGTTCGAGAGAGCTTTTAATCCAGATAATCATCAGCGGTGAGCAGTGCGAGAAAAGAACGGCACATTCTCGCTCGTACACACCCCCGAGACAGGAATGGGACGAGCGATTCTGATTAGATTATCGAAAAGACTGCCAACGCAGCTGAAAATCATGCTGTACAGATGATTGACAGAAACACGCGCTGGGATTAGTTCTGATGGATATTGAGGGTTCGGACGTCGTCGCGCGTCTCTGGATCAAGAGCATTCTGTTTGTTTTAATGATGAAGATGACCGTGATAGCTGATACAAATTTACATATCCGTTTCCCCCTTGTCTTGACACTTGAGTAAGGGGGAGAGACCAACAGGTCGCAAGGACCTTCTTCCGAGACGACTCGATGGGGCTCTTACTGACAGCTTCTCGAATCGACTGGGAGAATTCCGAGAGCCGGCATACAAGCTAAGGGACTGATCCGTTCCAGAAACAACTCCCTCGGAAAAGCGATGGTGTTCTCGAGCTCGCTTTTCCTGAAAATTACGTCTTCAGATGCTGCCCGTATAATGTCGGCAGTGCGAGCTCCACCGAATACACAACAACTGTTCAATGAATCATGGAGTGCCCATTCTCCTCCACAACTTTATGCTTCCCAACCGCCCGCTCATCGAGATTCCAGAGACAGTCATCCTGCGCGATTCGCAGACTTGTATGTCCAGCGGATTATTTAGTTTTGGGGACTCATCCACTCCCTGGAAGCTAGGTTTCTCATGGATCGGCGAGATGACGAGCATTCCCGAGATGACTTGCGGAAAGATATCTGAGCTCAAGAAAGGAATCACGCCTTTCCCGTTTTATCCGCTGGCTGCTCCAAGTCGGCGATTAGGCACATCGGATGCTTTGCTCGTGTTTACCGATGCCCCGCGGTCGAACAAAGTGCTTTTTCTTGCAGCAAATCAAATCGACTCGGAGGAGTAGACATCGAGTTCACAGCTGCTCGAATCGCGTGCCCGAAGAAGAGATCTGGCGCGAATGTCAAAAATGGATCATGGATTCCAAGAGAGGTCGGCGCGCCTTGATCTCAACGACTATGATGCCTTTCTCGTCCTATTCAATTGTCATTGTAGTCAGGACCGACGTCGCGCAGCACGATTCGATAGCACTTCACGTTTTCAAGCAAATCAGTTTCGAGTGCTCCCGAGGAGGGTGCCTATACAGAGACAGGAGAGAACTCCAGCTGGATCCTCGCCTGTATCGCATAATCCAATGAGCCTTTCAAATGAGTTGGCTCGTATAAACCGCGCTCCTCCAAAGGAGCTTCACATCCAGCCAAAGAGATACCGTTTCTCAAAATGAGAGCCAAGGCCACTCGAGCTCGAGAGGAGGCTAAGAATAATTGAAACGGAATCGCCTGATGTAATCGGCTGAGCTCATTGAGCCTCTCGAGAAGAGGAATCATCGAAGTTGTCGACAGCATAGAGAAGCGGCGGAGAAAACATTTCTCTAGGTCACAATGGCCTGGCGGCATTGCCGGTTCCGCTCCCGTGGAATGGGATAATCGAATCGTCAAGTCCGGGGGATCAATACTCACATTAGCCCGAGTTCCGCGGGTTGAATTCGAGGAGTCAGGAACCGAGGAGTCAACCTACGGCTGAGACCGGTTGGTTGAGAAATCGAGCAGCTTGGACTACCTAGTCCACCGCGAAGTGAGATTGTCCGCCAGAAAACGAGAACGCAACACACAAACGCACGCTGTCGATTTATGGTGAGACGTCACTCTCTTAAAATCAGGCTGCCCTCTGACGAATGGTCAAGCGCAGTGACTGCTTGGCCAGCTTGGTGGCTTGTGCTCCGCGAAACGTTCCGGCGCCGACAACAGCAGCGGTAGCGGCGGCGAAGCGGGTGGAAAGTTTAGGAGACGGCTCAGGATTGAGGACTCGGGCGTCTTTTGGCCCGCAACTGTCTCGGATGCCCGACAAGAGTTCATTGAGCATCGTCCGGGGAGCATCCATTACTGTCAAGCCAGAACTTGCGAAGAGATACAGATCTTCGTGACGGGAAACCTTGACTCTCTCGACTGCCTCAAGGCGACTTTGATCGTGCATCGGAAAGAGACGAACCTGCAGCCGGGACTCATCCAGACTTTGAGCGGTTCGAAGTACGGAGCAAGGACGGAATTCTACTTGAGTTATGAGTTTGCAAGGAACCCGACGGAGACTGATCGATACATTTGACCCATGTCGGCCTTTTCACCCATGGCTCGGTCGTCGGTATCCATGACGTTCGGACCAGGTCTCCGTACCCACAGCTCACCGAAACTCCCGTACTCGAACAGCGCTGGTAAGCATCAAAGAATGGACCGAGTTACCTTCTGCCTGCCAATGAACTTCTGCTGATTCTGTGGTGTTTCTCTTCCGGAACGTAATAACAAACATCCTAAGTCTGGAAGAGGTATCTAAAATTCATCGTTTCGGCCACGCAGAGCGAGAGCTGCCGAACGGATTGACGCGAGACGCGAGGCTGGAGATCCGCCCGATGATAGCAATCGTTCCGACAGTGACTCACTCGTTTTCTTAGAGCCGACGCAACGTGTCGGCATGCAATTTCAATGTGAGCCGAGAGTGACTTCCGAGAGGAGTCTAAGCTCATCCGCACCCCGAAACGACCACGAGCTACGATCCGATCGGTGACGTTCTGCGTTCTTCACTCTGCAGCCGTACAGCGCATGCGCTCTCGCTCGGAGAATACACGGATCATTCACCAGTAGTTTAGTAGCAGTCTCGAAGAGCGAGCACGGTCATCTGCGGAGCTCGCCGCAATTGTCTCCCGCACGGTCTCGGAGCATGGCCAGGTTTTTCGTCGGCGCATGCCTCATCGCTACGGCATCTGGATTCGTGTGCCTTTCGGCGGAGGAACAAGCTGAAGTAGGGCAAGACATCACGTCGTGCCTGCGTCGAGGGCTCGAGCTCCACGAGCCCTTCGAAATTTTCGGCGGTAAAAAAGGGGGTCTCTCGTTCCACGACGGCCTTCTGTACAACGTGCACAAATTCCGGAACCGAATCCCACCGCAAGTCGGTTGTACCAACGGGCATGTCGGCATCGAACTCTTGCTCAGTTTCAACGAGACCAAAGTGCATTATACGTGGAAAACCGTCGGTCTGCCTTTCAAAGGCGGTACGTGGACCTTCGTTCGCCAGGCGACCGTTGCGATTTCGCTCACTTCACCCATACACGGTAGGATGCCGGTGACTTTCAAGGAGCTGCGAATGACCGAGTACTTCGCACCCTCGGTGCGGGTGGATGGAATTCAACCCTTTTCGTGGCTTGCCTCTGAAATCGGAACATTCGTCGCGAAGAGCAGCAGTGCGCTCCTCAAGCAATTCATGGAGAAGAACTACATCAAAGTCTTCGAAAACGCTTTCGACCAGTGCTTCATCAGGTCGTCGTGACCTAGGGAAATAAATTCACAGTCGGTTTTTGTGACTTCCGAGGTATTTAATCGCGCCCTCTCTTCGTTGGATTGGTTTCTCTAGAACGACGTTTGAGGTTACTGGAAAACTATGTACGGTGAAGCGCTCCGTGTCCTCGGATGGATCCAACCAAGCACCGGTAATCTTTTCTTTTTTGCAAGAATTCCGTGAGGCCCATGATAGTTCAAGTAGATTGCTGGAGAGTGGGCCCGTAACTTTTTTTCCTCGGGGAGTTTGCGGAAAGCACAGAGCTGTCGATCAGAATGATCTCCACATTCGAGTTCGGCAGCTCGTGTTCGATAAGAAAACACATGGTTGGCGGCCCAGGAACCGCGTGTGCTCGGTAAGCCACCGGTTCCCTAGAATGAGGAAGAGCAAAGTATCGTAGACCTGCATTTGGTTCCGTTTAAAGTGTAGCTATCTTACCACAGTCTTGAAAGTCAGACAGAAAACTGTCGCACTCCCGAGCTCTCACAATAAGATCCGACCCAGAAGGACATACTCACCTGAACCGCGACTTGTCCCGGAGTCTCTGTATTGAACCTCCGATGAGTCATAGCTTCATGAATAAACGAGCTCCCAGAGTCTTTTCGTACTCCTCATGATGAAGGCATCCAATCATCGGAGTGCTCGAAAACTTACAGCATTCCTCTGAGGAGAAGGCGGGAACCATGGGGCTTCTCGTCGCTGTCAGAATACCCTCGACTATTCCGTGACGTTCTCACGTGACAAGGGAACCTACGTCTCGTACTCTGCCCAAATGTCTCCGCGATGCCGAGAGCATAACCAGCCAATTGGATGTTGTTAGCCCGACAGCTAAACGGAAACCTCTTCGAGCTCGTTTCAGTGCGACAAACGGAGATCCAGACGGACAGACTGACGAACGCAATGACTGAGATAGAGCGTGGATGAGTGAATCGTTGTCTATTCAGTCCGAAGCATCTTGAACAGAGTCGCTCGTCAGTGGCCTGGCCTTCAAGACTGCGTAACCGATCAGAGAGTCAGCTCACTTTCTTCCCGCTGGCGGGCACGAGCTCGTTGTTGAAAAGAGCATCGAGATTGAAAACTGCGGAATCAGCCCTAGTGCGAGAATTTGTGCCGGAAGGCTTGCGTCATAGGGGACGAGAATTTCGCTGAATTTTTATTCATTGCCTCGGTATGCTCATAAACTCGACCGCTCCGCGATATCTTCACATCACAAGCGCAGCTTGCTGCTTTCCCTGCTCAAGCGACTCCTCGCTTGTTTGTCCTGCGCGGTGTTTGTTATCGTGCCGCCGATCTGACCGTGGCCGAATATCTGCGATAAACAAATATTACGTCGCGGAATTATTCACAGAATATGCCCCCCTTAATGGCTTATCTGTTCGGTCATTGTATTGACCGTCCCGATATTCATCCTTCATTGGACCGAATTTATCGACGGCCTGATATATCTCTAACTATTATTGTGAGAAGCTTCTCATTAGCAAGCTCCTAATGCGGCCGGAAATCGTGCCGGACGCCGAGATAGAGTAGTCGCGAGACTCCATATGAGGGGTGATGTTCCGGTCATCATCCGGAACCGTGCGGTGTCAAGATTCGGGCCGTTCCAGGAGCAAATAAATCATGAATCTATCCATCGAGGGAATTTTGATTTGTGATTGAGGGTGCCAATCTACGGGAGACTCACCTAACGTTCAGAAACGGCTCTGAAGGCTTCAGACGTCGCACATCGACTTTGGAGCAATCGCCTGACTTGTCGTCCGGATATCTACGGCGCATCTCATTGCGTGTAGATGGCCGATGCGATCCCCACTCCGGTCGCGAAGATTAGAAAACCGAAGAAGAAGCACATGAAGAAGATGGTTAGCATCGCCATCGTGATGTCAAAGAGCTCCGGTCGCTCGCTGTCGCGCCCAGAAGATTGCTATTTGCTGGCAAACCTTCGATGTATAAATGAGACTGAGTGAGCGCTGAGCCGAAGCGCGTCGAGGAACGCACCCGGTCTGAGAGAGGAAGCGCTCTTTGCCCGCCCCGGAGAATACGATTCTCCACCTTCACCTCAGTTCACTCAGAGGCTCAATCGGCGGCCGTCGCCGAGTGTCTGCTGAGCTACGCCGATTGCCTCTACACGATCGGAGAATCCAAACTGAGCTCGTTCGATAATTTCCGTTGCATAATCGCGAGCGGAAAGCTCGCCTCTACCGTCGACGCGCTGTGAGATCGAAGACGCGTGAGCCCGATTCGAGAACCATGCCTTGAATGAGCTGGAGCAGTAACAACAACTGGAAGACGCAGTGAAGAATCGGCTCGCCCTACAGAAATTCCGAGAAACATTAGCGGCTCCATGAGCTTGGAAGGAGAAGAAGGGATATATGAAATCCGAGGAGATTCGATGGAATCCTTAAGCATGGTTGAGCTTGACCCGTCATCCCACTCGCCCCGCATCTTCACACGGAGAAGCGACGCTTGAGTTTCATGAATGCATGAACCCCCCTCGAAGGCGAAAACTTTCAGCCTGACTCCAGAGACGCTGTCGGATTACGGAAGGCTGTGCTGCTCCGCTTCGACTCATCCCTCCCCTTCGCGTACCTACGCGTTCAAAGGAACCTACACTCATACGATGCGGGGGAAGGAGGGGGGTGAGCCTAGCTCGAATCTCAAGAGCCGACGTGAATAACGGATTAGAGGAGCAGGAATGATACAGATGCCCCAACCATTGTAACCGGGACGTTACAGTCCGAGGACCGGAGAAAAAAATATTGTGTAGGTTTTGATCTTTCCGATGGACGATCGGAGCATGGATGTGAGGCAGTGCAATCGCCTATGATTTTATTAATACGTTTACTACTATTGTACATCTTCGACACAAGCGGGTGTAGCGGGTGCATGCTAATCGTGAATCTGTGAGTATTCGCGGGAATACGAATGAATGAGTCCGCGCACTCGGAACACCACGAGCCTTGTCCGGGATCCAGAATGATCGTCAATCATCACTCAGCACCAGAAGCGTCTCAGGAGGGGGGGCGGTCCGCCCCGGGCATAAAGCTTTCAGGGAGCAACTGGACTGGCCCGACGAAGGGCTGAAACGCCCAACTAGGAGGGGAGGAATTTCTCACTTATTGGATCAAGACTGATCTCAAGAATCCCTGGTGTCTTAGATGAGGGAAGTCCGAGAAATATGGGAAAACTCCGAGGAGGGATCGAATCGGGACACCACGCCCCGGGCATCGAAGATGCACGCTACGTCTCTCAACTATGATCTCTGATTCACAAGAATTTACTTATGGCCTTCGAGAGGTAATGCCTGAAGATGCGGGGATTTTCCCTCGCCGCAGCCTAGAAGACGGACGATGCATGAATTCGAATTGACCGTTCAGTCGAGGATGATATTGCTGGGAAGAAATCAAATCAGGCTCAAAATTTGCTTCTCAAAATTTGAGTCGATGGCAGCGAGTCCCAAGCAAAGGGACCCGTTCGAGCTTCCAATTCCCCCGGAGTGGCCAGCGGTCGCAAGACGCAAAATCCATGATGAGAATATTCCATGATCCATGAGACTCCCGTGTGGCTGCTCGGCTTCATAGGAACGAGCTCATTCAATAACTTCTGCTTTCGAAAGCTGGACGATCGACACTCCGAATTCACTGACGTCGATCGGATTCAACATGACTTCAAGTGCTCTCGAATCTGCGTTCCTCCGCGATCGGAGGGACGTAATACATGAAATTCGTCTTCGCATGAGCACGTTATTCGCCTTTGCCGAAGGTAGGATCAGCCTTCTTACCGAACCTGTTTTTTCTGTGGGGCTCTAAGCCCCGGGTTCGCCTAGACGGACACGTATATTCCGCAACCTCAGCGACTCGGCAATGGGATCGATGGGACGGTCACGGACTGTCTCACTCGGAGGCGAACTCTGCGGAAGCGCGATACAATCAGCTGGAGAAGTCCGTTGCTGTCTCACATCCTCCGGAGACTCATCCGAACGGATCTCACAGTTTCAGTCTCTCGAAGCAGCCCCTAGCTCCCTCCTCTCGACGTGTCTGATCCTCGGGTCAGTCATTAACTAGATGTCATACGATTTACACAAGGGGTGGGTCAGAAGTTCTCGGACATTTGAACTCAGCCCCGGGGCCCGGAAGCTCTCGCTCCAGCAGATAGCTCAATGATTCCAGTGTTCCAAACAGAAGATTCCGTTCGCTCCCCGCTAATTCAATGCGGCACTTTCTCATTTAACCTGCGCGACAGAATGTGGATACAGCGAAAATGTGATACGGGATCTCGAGGTTCCGAACGTTTTTGTTTTTGATGGACGCGGTTTGGGTTGTCGTTTCCGTTCAGAATAGCATGGAACGCCGGCGCCGGATCAACACGCCCGACTTCTAGAAGGCTCAAGAATCGCTTCGAAGAGACTGGATGGGTCTTGTTCCTCGGCAGCCCCGCTCGAAGATCGAGCAAGGGGATCGCAATGCTCAGCTTTACCCTTGGATTTCTCCTTTTCAGTCCTGAGAGCCGCATCCCGAACCTTCGACGTCAGAGAAGGCATGAGTTTCTCTGCTCCCCGAGGTGTGAGACGTGGTTTCCCTACGGTCCGAAGACCTCCCTAACGGACCTAATCAAACTGAGGCGGTCGGAAACTATCGATTTCGACCATGTGCGATCGATTGCTATTCGTTCCTTGCCGAGTCGGAGATTCTCAGACGTTTCGCTGACGTGAAGGGTCTGACGAAGAGTGGCTCTCCACGAACAGCGCGGGGCAGCCCGTGCGCCAGTGAAGAGGCTAATTATCTTGCGGCGTCAGAGCATTTTTCGTTTCACTTTCCGAAGGTGCCGGACGAAGAACTTTTTCGCTACTATGGTTTGCTTCTCTGCCGATACGACATAGATTGGCTCTGCATGGGACGGGTTGGAATACGGCGGGCTGAATCGAGTTCGAATACTCGGTTGGTCGTTACTCGTCTCTCGTCTCCGACAGAATACCCATCGCGGAGCTGGAAATAGCC